ATTAAATTTTGATTCTGTTTTTGAGATAATGAGTAGCTAACTTTCATAACTAGGGTTGTGAGAACCATAACCGATTAACAAAGTATGAATAATAACTAAGTAATTCTTGAATAGTGTTGAAGCATGCATTGATAATTCTTTCGTTTAAAAGTCTTTTTAGCGGTTACAAACGTTAGAACTCGCCTTGTTGCTACTTGCCGGACCAAGGAGGTAGTTAATAAGAAAAGAATTATCAACATAGATTTAGTGTGATACTATCTAATAGGCTAGTGTCGATTGGTGCGAAGTAATAACTAAGCCAAACATCGATTATGATGTCTAATATGAGGTAAAGGTAAGGGTTAGTAAATTATACACACGTAGCCGGACCAAGGTGTGGGGTGAAATTCTCTAGATGCCGGATCAAGGATTTAGAAATACCTAACTTATCACTTTGCATGTGATACATTAGAAAATGATTACTATTATTAGGATTACTGCGTTATGAGCTTATGGGGAACACATTCCTAGTTACTTTTAATAATCTGAATAAAAATAAATACTTAGTTCAAAACTATCTTTTTATTATTTTTTATTTTATTTCAAATTAAATCCCCCCATTGTTATATAACGACTATCGAGTTAAATATTTGCTATTGACAATATTCTTCCATATTTTCTATGGGATCGACCCCGACTCATAGTTGGGTAAATATATTGCATACGATCGTTTATATTTCTTTTCAAGAAGTATATTTGAACGTCATCAGTGAACTGTTTTTATTTATAAATAACGAGGATGGGTCTATGAAGATGTGTACTTATTAAAGGTAGTTGAACAAGGTTAATGTTAAGAACAAGTATCCTCTTTCGTGCATTGATGATTTGTTTGATAGATTTTAGGGGTCAGCGTTGTTATCTAAGATCGACTCGAGGTCCAGTTGTCATCAGTTGAAGATTAGGGCATTAAATGTCCCTAAGAAAACTTTTTAGACTAGGTATTGCCATAATCAATTCTTAGTAATGTCTTATAGGTTAAATAATGCCGTTACAGGGTTCATGGAGTTGATGAACATGGTGTTTCACCGGTACTTGGATTCTATTGTGATCGTATTTATGATGAAATCTTAGTGTATTCAAAGAATGAGTATGATCATGTTCCCCAATTGAGTATAGTTCTTTAGAGGTTAAAAGAGGAGAAGTTTTATGCAAAAAATTTAAAGTGCAAGTTCTATCTTCATTCGGTGGCATTCTTAGGACATGTGGTGTCTAAAGAGGGCATTAGGGGGATCTTACCAAGATTGAGGCGGTTAGGGGTTGGATGAGGCCTACTTCTCCTACTGAGATTAATATTTTTGTGGGGTTCATGGGCTACTACAGGCATTTTGTGCAGGGTTTCTCTACGATTGTGTCCCTCATTGACTAGATTCATTCCGCAGAATGTGCAGTACCAATCGTCTTATGAGTCTAAGGTGAGATTACAAAAGATCAAGATCTTGCTAACTTCGGCTCCTATTTTGACTCTCTCCGAGGAGGGCGTAGTCTTTAATGTGTCTTGTGATGCTTTGGAAGTCGGTCTAGATAGAGTGTTGACACAAATGGTGAAAGTCATCGATTATGCTTTGAGGCTGTTGAAACTCATGAGAAAAATTATCCTTCCCATGACGTGGAGTTGGCGGAAGTGGTCTTTGTGCTTACGTTGTGTGTCACTACTTATATGCTCGCATTCTTCCTTTCTTTTTTTTCCTGCTTTGACCTATGTTTGTGTCTAGATTCTTTGTTTTCATATTGTATTTTACCTTTCTTGCCTATGATGCCAATTTAGTACCTTTGTTTTGTTACTTATGCTACTCTCTGCATCTTTTTCGTGATGGAGGTCCTATTACCAACAAGCAACAATGATCATCATGCCATCATTTGCATATTGTGGATATCAGAGATGAGGGTGAGCACTTGTCCTCCTAGACAAGTGTGTCTCCTTTTGTATTTATAGTAGCTAGTCTTTTGCATATTAGACGGCTTTTTGTGGTCCTTTTTGAGATCTATATTTGTCCTTATTAAATAATTGTGTACTCGTGACTTACGGATATTGGGAGGGTTTCAATTTTATAAAGTTTTGGGTTGTTCCTCTTTCTGTCTTTTCTTGGTGTTACTATTATTTTTTGTTTAGTTCTACCATTTTACTCATTACTTGTCATTTTCTGTTACAGGTTGGCATACCTACAGGTGGGTTATAGTAGGTGACATAATGACTCTGGCGATCCAGTCTTGACAACATATTTGGGCAGCTAACATGTCATCTCAGTTGAGAGATGCATGGCCATTAAAATTAAAGGGTGAGCTAGTCTTCCAGGATAGTATGGATTCTTCTCTATTTCTTTGTTCATACTACCCTTTGTTGACTATAAACAGAGGGGTTTCCTCTCATTTTTCAATCACATTTTTTTCATCTTGTACTCTTCTTCTTCTTGCATTTTAAAAAATTTCATGTGATTTATTGTCCTTGAATGAGTTTGAAGTTTAGCGGAATATGACGTACCACTATTCTGATGAAGTAAATTGTTCTATCCTAAGAGGGTATATTTTTTAACCTCGAGTACTTGAGGAAAATAATTAGGATGACCATCTTCATAGGTTCGTGTGAATAAGAGATATATATGATGATCCACATTAAACATTAACAAAATAATCTGCAATATTAGTTTGTGCAAAGCTTATTATTCAAATATTCGCTTAAATTTTTTGAATTGATAATCACGTGCAACACACATGTCGAAAAACTAGAATATATATATATATTGGTTCCTTATTTCTATTATTTTTCTTCATTGAGAGGCTTTATTTTGTTCATTTCTTGCTCTTCCAATCCATTAGCCAATTCTCGTTGGTTTCAGTCTAAAGGTTAGGCTTACCTCTCGATGGAATTTAGTAGGTGTCATCATGACCTCGAATTTTGGGTCGAGACATGTGAATATACAAATGGATAAAAACTATAGTTGTTGCAAATTTTGTTTGAATTTGCAATCTGGAAAGTAAACAATAGCCATGCTTTCGATGTCAACCATTTTTTCTAGGTAAGAAAAAGTTTTATAATCTAAAACAATGAGTTAACAATATTTAACAATAATCAACTAAATTTTTATTTATTCGGAATAACAACGTATTGAAATTGAAGTCTCTTCTTCCAAAAGTGAATATCATAAGGAATCTAGAGTATTTTCAAGCGATAATTCATTCAAGAATCCGATAAAAAATCCATATATCATGATATTAAAGGAAATATAATGTTTTTTTAAATTAATTTGATTACTCATTTATATAGTTCTGAATAATTTAAGTTGGAAGTCGGTTCCATCTTCATCATCATTGTTATCTTCTTCTTTATGGTTGTATCCATTTTTCATCTTAGCAACATTAGGTTTAGTTACATTGAGAATGACAGAGACCGGTAAAACATTATTATACATATAATGAGTAAAGGACTAGGGTTTTCTACATGTTATAACAAACTCTTGTACAAGAAAAAAGTTTGAAAGATTTTTTGGACCAAAAAAGTTTGTAATAAGATTTAGAAAACCTAACCCTTATCCCTCATATATATTATGGTGTTTTAAATAGTCCTTCTCATATTAAATGCAACTAAACCTAATGCGACTGAGATGAATAAGGTCACAACAATGAATAAGAGGATGAGTGTGATAATGATAAAACATATTTCCAACATGAATTCTTCATAACTGAATCAATGAGTATTCAAGTTCATAAACATTTCTCTTCATTATATTTCCTTTATTTGATGATATGTTGATGTATCATTGAATGATTAAATGAATTATAACTTCCAAATGGTCTAGTTTTCTTAGAACGTTCACATTTGAATAGAAATCTTAAATTTTAATACGTTGTTGTGTGTAACTAAATAAAAATTAGTTCGATTGTTGTTAAATCTTTTAAGCCTATTTTTTTAGTTTTTCTTCTCAAGAATACTTGGTTAATTCAACGTTGAAAGAAGTGATATTATTCAGATTTCCTATTTTCAAATTAAAACAAAACCTGTAACAATTATTTCATTGTTTTATCCAATTAAGTATTCACATTTGGTATATACATATGTAATATCATCTATATTGAATATATAATAGTAGTAGTAACACTTTTGTTTTGAAATATCGGGTTCATTGGAAATTGATACACAAAATAGGTGGATTTAGTTGGACTCAAATTGATGGTGTCAAACTTGTTATTAGGAGACCATATCTAACTTATCTCGAACCTCTTCCATAACTTCAAGACTATGGAAGTTGTTTGCTAGTTTTGTATATTTAAATCATGAGGCATTAAAACTATCTCAGGTACTACTAAAATTGTTAAAAAAATTAGTTTGTCAAAACCAGAAGAATATATTCATACCAGTGTCATTCATCGTTATGTGGAGCTTGCAAGATAAGAAAATAGTCAAAGTCATGGGAAGACAGTCTTTTTCAATAGTTTAGTTTTGAATGTTAGCATGGATAGTTTAAGACTAGATAGTATTTCATACCCTAGATACAAATAAATTCTTTTTTTCACAAGAAGTTATGGATTACATTTATAAAATATGAAGCCAAACGTTAATATATATTTGTTTGTTGGAAGCCACCACAACAAGAACAATCAAAATGCAATACATATGGGGCAATCTAGACAGTAGATCCTATGGCTTCTATATGAGAATCATAACAGAGAATTAGTGTATGTCAAAAGATAGGAAGTTTATTAAATTGCCAACATAGAGGAAAAGGCATTTGTTATAGGGCAGCAATATATCATTATGTCTCGATGGGGATTTCCAAGGAAAAAATAGAAATTGACTTGCTAGTCCTTGTTCAAATTCTTTCAAGGTAGTGAGATGTAACATGTCACATAACAAATCTAGTTGAGCACATCATGAAGTTATCACAAACAATCCATGTGCTACTAACACATATCTACAGAGAAGTAATCACACTAGCATATTACATTGTCATTCAAGCCTTTGGTAAGAAAGAAATAATCATTTTTACTACATTTATAACATTACCAAATAAAACAGAGATATTTTGAATTTTCTCTAGCAACAAATGTCCAACAAAAGGATAAAAACTAAAAATATAAATCAGAATATTAGGGAAGGAGAGGAACACATCATCATAAGACTACAAGTACAATTTTTTTTTGTCGGATGGTCATACACCGACAAAATACAAAGGTGAGGGATTTAACTAAAGACCAACATCAAATACACAAGTGAACGATTGAGCTAATGCTTCAACACAGATTCAACCTACAATGTCATATCTATTAAATAAGTTATAGGGGAGTGAGTAAATCAAGATAAATCGGTACCAGAGAAGAAAAATGATGAATTGTATCATTGGCACAAAAGTCTCTCGGATCTGCGACACCCAAAAGGGGAACACTCGTAGTGCACTCACCGCATAGATTGACAAAAAAATCAAGATAGCAAATCCTTATTGTTTCGTAGAATAAATTTTTCCTCAAAGCTGCTACAACATCAAATACAATTTAGTAATGAAGGAGTAGAAGGAAGAATATGAAGAGGAACACAAGGAAATACTCACAGACTAGAAAAAAAAGCTCAACTCCTTGACCATCATAGCAGATCCAAAGCTTTCATGGGAGCACATAGGTTTGAGTCAAATACAAATATTTGTTTCCAGATGTGACTCTGGTGTGGACAAATGAGATATTATATTGGAGGCTTCTAGATAGCATCAAAACCTATTTTTTATATGGGCCGGTCACTTTTGGACCTACCTATTGCTGGACCTATTTGTTGTCAATAACTACAGGGCCTAACATGCCAAAAAAAAAATATTATAAAATATTCTTTTTAAAAAAGTAAAAAGTATTTTTAAATTTTGTAATCTTAAACTTAAAGATATGTATAATGTATCAATATTTTATTTAATTTTGTTATCTTAACATGCCACATGGAATATTGAAAATAAAGAGTTAACAAATTTGTAAAAAGATATTCATTTTCAAATAGACAAAAAAGAAACATAAGCCAAATAAATTAAAACAGAGAATACTTGTTCAGAGTCTCAACCTTCAAATGAGACCTATATTATTTTCTTTTCATGAAAAATTATGACCTTATCAAATCCCATTAATTTTAAAAGTAAAATAAAAAAATTTCATGGCCATGTAAAGAACCTCAAATACGCTATATTGCATAATATTTAAATAATTTAATGTACAGTAAGAATTGTGATGTATCATTGTTATAGTGCTATAAGTGGCACGTTTTGCTCATAAGATATATATTTTCATTGAGTTTTGAATTTAGACTATGATAACTATTTTTGTCAACATATTATTTATAATTTAATTTTTATAATTTGTTTATTAAGTAAGTTTTTCTTATATTAAAAAGTAACAAGAAAAAAGTTTTGTAACACCCCATATTCACGAAAGGGAAAATTACCCATTTCCAGAAGCTGCAGGTGTCAACTCACGTTGACAATCCACGGCTCGTGGATGGGACCACATACTGTAGGTGTGGTCCGTGGTTGACACACTTGCATTACCCAGAAAGGGTTAGAACCACGGCCGGACCAAAACATCGTTGGGGGAACCAAGGTCCGTGGTCCAAGACCCTCATGTTGGGGTTTCAGACCACCGTTGACTGCCGTGCAGGATGGTTTGTCGTCCTGACCACGGTCCGTTAGTGGTGTCTCATGGGTCATGGGTGCAAGTTGAGTTTCATGGGTAGTTTGGTCTTTTCCTTCACTAAGAACCATATATAATAATTTTAATCCCTAAATTAAACCCATTCAACTCATTCTTCAAAAATAACAAAAGAAGATCAATTCTCCACTCCAAAATATTTCTCTCTCTAGAAACTTGAAGAAGAATAAGAAGAAGGGTTTAACCAAGGGTTACAAGGTAAGCCTCCCTTATCACCATTGAAGATAAGCATTGGGATTTGAAGTATGATACTTTTCATCCATGGATTCTTTCCATTCACGGAGTTCCTAAATTTCCCTATTTTTAAAGTTAGAATTACCCAATTGAGTTAGGGTTTTCTTCGATTGTCATGGGTTCTCTTGATTATTGATTTAGATGATTGAGTTATGATCTCTTATGCATGAATTGATGAAATACTATGATTTCCCTGTGAACCCATTTAATCATCATGTTTTCAAGTTATGAATCATATGATGTGGGATTTTGATTATAAAGGAAGAGTTTTATGAAATTAAGCATGTTTTGCTAGCTTTACATGAATTTATGATGAAATCCATATCTAATCCATGTTTTCTAAGTGTTGATGATTGAAAGTGGGTTTTGAACCTTGAAAGGTAAATTATGGACTTATGCATTGTCTTATGAAATCTATGCAAATGTTTAAAGGATGCTTTGAGAGTGAAATATTAATGATAATGTTGTTGTTGTGTTGTTGAAAGGATTGTTCTCATATACACATAATAGCATGATGTGAAAGGTTTTCTCACATACTAAGAATTCTAAGGTTGAAAGATTTTCTCACCTAATTGAATCAAAGATTAAGAGCTATCCTAATGAACCTAGCTTTGATTGGTTATTGAAAGATACCTTTCCATTATTTATGACTTAGCTTGGATTGGCAAGATGACATGACCTTACATGGATAATAAGAACAAGTAAGAAATGACTTTTCAATGGGATTTATGCTTAGCACCGAGAGGATATTGAGATGGAAGCTCTCCCGTTAGTAGAGGCCAGGTTTCTAAATTTAATCTCCTTATCCCTTACCTATTTGCCCCCATAGGATGATTGTCTAGATAGACATTAGCTAGTAGATCCACTAAAGCTACAAGTACTGGTCCTTACCTTGGCAAGTAGGACAACCCTTTTTGGTGTGGGAGACACTAGAGAATCTTGTTATTGCTCATATGGTCTCTATATTGGTTAAGGCCAATTTTCCACATTAATAATGAACTAAGGTTACTTCAAGAAGTATCTCATATGTTTTCAAAGGTTTTAATGATGTTAGCTTGCATTGACCATGTTTTATGACTTATGTTTTCTAACCCTTATATATCATGTTTTAGCTTGGTCAATTGCATGTCATGAAATGAAATGTTCCTTTTATCATTATTTAATTTTTTTATTCATAGCTATCATACTTGGTACTTTGTTTTGTACTAACGCATACTCTTTCCTACATTTCCCCAAATGTAGGTCCCGCTAGTCAGGTTTCTGAGTTTTGTGGCTAGTGCTTGATATCGAGATTTCTGAGCTTTGCTGATCCCTCATGCTTCGAGGACGAATTTTCAATGTTCTAGTTTCCTTATTGTATTTCAGTTTTGGACATGATATATGGGCTAGGCCCAATTTCATTATAGTATACTAGATGACTATATAGAGACAATTGTTTTAGACTTCCGCTTTTCTTTTATAAAAATTGTTGGACTTGGAATATTGTTTTACTCTTATTGTTCTATTTCTTATGTTATGAAAGCTTAGTGGCTTGTATGGGATCCTTCTGGGTTTTATACGCCATGTTACATTTAAAGGGTACCCCTGGGTCGTGACAAACTTGGTAATCGGACCACAAGGTTTAGAATGGTCCTAGGATGTCTTATAAGACACGTCAAGTAGAGTCTTGTACATAAGTGTGAAGCACACCACATTTATGAATGAGAGGCTACAAGATATTTAGGAAACTCCACTTCTTTTATTACTCTTAAGTCGTGCAATAAAGTTTAACTCTATAACGTCTCTCTCCTAATCCTTATCGGATGCTCTATAGGATAGGACTAGTCGAAGAGCTTATGCTAGAAGGAGTGTGAGGGAGAATAAGGAAAAAGAATCTCCTCTCCAAGCTCCTCAAGTTCTGGTCGATCCATTGGCCTAGCAAGTAACTAATGCGAAGTTTAGGGCTGCTTTTCAAGTTTTGGTTCAAGATGTGATGGCCCAAGAGAATAGGGACGTTACGGTTCCTGTGAACCCAAATATGGGTACGACGATTTCTAGAGTGAGGAACTTCACTAAGATGAATCCTCTGGAGTTTCATGGTTCTAATGTTGCGGAAGATCCTCAAGAGTTCATTGATGAGGTCTATATGTCTTGATGATCACGGGAGTGATGGAGGTGGAAAAGGCAGAATTGGCCGCTTATCAAGTAAAAGGTGTTGCTCAAACATGGTTCAACCAATGGAAAGAAGGGAGACCGGAATATGTGGGTCCTCTTGATTGGGAGAAGTGTAAGGCCGCTTTTCTTGATATGTACTTTCCCCTTGAGATGAGGGAAGCCAAAGTGCTTGAGTTCATTAACCTTTGACAAGGAAGTGTGAGTGTGAGGGAATATGCTCTAAATTGCACACAATTCTAGGTATGCTCCATCGATGGTTGCCGATTCAAGGGCAAGAATGAGTATGTTTGTTTCGGGTGTGTCCGAAATGGTGGTTAAAGACTTCCGTACCGCCATGCTCATTAATGAAATGGGCATCTCTCGTCATGGTTCATGCACAACTGATTAAAGAGGAGAAACTCAAGGAAAAATCTATAGAGGTGAAGAGGGCTAAGACCGGTAATAGTAATTTTTCTCACGCAAGGTCCGATGGACATGGTCATTCTAGATTTCCCCAAAGGTTTTCTAATCAAGGTTCTTCTTATTCACCTTCTAAGTTCAACACAGATAGGGCGTCTAACCATAAGCTTCAAGGAGGGAATGGTAGTGGATCTTCATTGCCCATGTCTACTTGTACTAGGTGTAGAAGGAAGCACGAGGGTGAGTGACTAGCCGGCACGGATGGTTGTTTCGGTTGTTGGAAGAGTGGTAATAAAATGAGGGATTGCCCAATATTTGTGACTAAATGAAGAGAGGGCAAGCAAGCTCCTCCTAGTTGTTCGGGTCCCAATGCCCCTAAGCATAACCGATTATATGCACTTCAAACTCGTGGTGAACAAGAGTGTTCTCCCGATGTGGTTACCGGTATGTTAAAAGTTTTACAACATGATGTATATGCTTTACTTAATCCCGGTACTACCTCATATTTTGTTACGCCATTTGTTGCTATGAGGTTTAATGTGCTCCCCGATGTGTTGTTAGATCCTTTTTCTGTCTCTACTCCTATTGGTGATTCTATTATGGCTAAGAGGATCTATAGAAAGTGTCATGTGTCCTTGTTCCATAGAGTTACTCTTGTTGACTTGGTAGACCTTGATATGCTAGACTTTGATGTGATTCTTGTTATGGATTAAATGAATTCATGTTATGCTTTTATTAATTGTAGAACTCGTGTAGTCAAGTTTCAGTTTCCAAATGAGCATGTCCTAGAGAGGAAGGGGGAGATTATATGCCTAAGGGTCAATTTGTCTCTTGTCTTAAAGCTAGAAAGATGATTTCTAAGGGTTGCATTTACCATCTAGTTTGGGTGAGGGATGTAGATTCTGAAACCCTTACTCTTGAGTCAGTCCCCATAATAAAAGAGTTTCTCGAAGAGTTCCCAGACGACTTACCCGATAGACTTCGGTATTGACCTTCTCCCAGATACGCAACCTATATCTATTCCTCCTTACCGTATGGCCCCAACAGAATTAAAGTAGTTGAAAGAACAATTTAAAGACTTGTTGGATAAGGGTTTCATCCTACCGAGTATCTCTTCATGGGGAGCTCCAGTTTTGTTCGTGAGGAAGAAGGATCATTCTCTTCATATGTGTATTGACTATCGTCAGCTTAACAAGGT